ATTATTTTGCATTAAATTAATTAAATACAAATAAATTAATGATTAATAAATGCATCAAGCATAACCGTTTTCATTGTCATATCAATTGGCTATATTAAATGTAAACAAATGATGAATAAGAATAATTATTACAATTACGAGCAACAATTTTCCTGATTTCAAGAGACTCGTAAATATGATTGTATAGGTATAATACGCTGTGTTACTAATTAATGTTTTATATGTGTAACGATGATTCACTTAGTTGATTTAACGCCGCATTTGTCGTGAAATGAATAGAATCTTCATTATAGTGTTCTAGTCCCGGGATACTACGATCAGATACCACAGATTGTATTCAAGATGTGAAATATGGGCGGAAAGGGACGCTTTCCTATCTCGGCTTGCTATCACGATTCGAGACTTTGAGTAATGATATTGATGTATTAGCTTATTTGATACAGAAATTGCCTATTACTTCCTACATTGGTCAATATGTCGATCATCATGATGCCGTTATCAATGTTACTGGGGAAACTGTCCCAGAAACTATCTGATCGATTATCGTGAATAGCATTTGTCCACGTGGTGAAAACTGAATACACGTGTCATGGCCATGAATAAGATTCCGATGATTATAAAGCTTTCAGAGCTTTTGTAATTTAGTATCGAACGTAGTATTTCGTTTTTGGCAAATAAAAATCTTGCTTAAATAAATGGAAAAAGCATTTATAGTTCGATAACCATTTTAATTTACGACGAGAAGGGGAGGAATACTTTGCCAATGAAATAACACTCCCGTCACGTAAATCGCGAAATCGATTTTCAGAATGTAAACGTTTAAACCGTTCTCGGTCAAGAATTGAAAAGCTTTTCTGCGACGAACGATGAGACGGGAAGAAAAAACAAAACCGCTTTGAAACGTGAAGTGAAACAGACTCTGGGATAATCTATATCTTACCGAGTTATGAGTGCGCTGTTTGAGAGGGTCGAAAGAGGAGGAAATTGCGTTAGATTAGGATAGTACGAGGCCGTTTTATTTCGTGTCTCTTTTTCCTCGAATCATCCATCCTCGCTCATATTTCGCCTTCCGGTGATCCTACCGTCGTCTATGTACGTTTAACTTTATTCACTCTGGCTTTTGTTTCCAAGAGTGATTGGAGCTTTCGATATAGTTCACGTAGTGTCACTTTGAAAAATTATACTTTTGTCTTGTTGTGTATTATCGTAAAATTTGGAAAGCATGCGAGAGACTATAAAGAAAGTAGCATTAAATTATGCGCATTCTTTTCATGAGATATCTTCTGTAAGACTTTTTTATTAGAACTTTTCTGTTAGAACTTAGCATTTAGCAGTTTTTAGCACGATTAAAACTTCGCATGGGCTTTTAATTAAGTCATAATAATTTGCTTAAAAAGATTTGTTCTCGAGTTGTGATATAGCTTTCTAGGAATTATTTAAAAAAAAATCTTGTGTTCTATACGTCTCTACATATGGTTCTACGTATTTTATATATATAATTAGTGTGTGCACGCAGAACGAGAATTATTTTTAAATTTATAATTATCACTATTAGCGAAATTATCATTAAAATATCAGACTAAAATCACGTTTCTGTTTTAATGTTTAATTGCAGTACAGTGTGGTTACTGTTAAAATATAGAGCACAGTAACGTGACGAACATCCACATGTACTATTATTTAATATATACTACGTATATCTTGTATAAGATATATTTATTATTTGTATGTAGCCTCCCATTCTGTACAATTGTTTCAATTGCAAAATTCTTTTATGATGATAATAATTATATCGTTTGCATACCCCCTTCTACTCCACATCCGCATACACAAAATACACACACACACACACGCGCGCGCGCAATTTGAACAAGCTGAGCTCATAAATTGCAGATCCAAAAGTACGACTCTGTGAAGTGCTGCGCGGCGGCAATGTTGAACAAAAAACATGTTCCTCGCTGGAATGTAAACCAATCGCATCGTTTAATGCTACCTCGTGTAACGAATGATCCGCAGCGAAAAGTCAATACCAAATATTCGGCTAGTTGAGCCATATATATTGGTGCCATCGACTGTTTTGTCGCAAAAACGTGAAACGAAAGCGGTTGAAATTTTATTTGTTTATAGAATATATTTTTCGCGTGTGTGTGTATGTGTGTGTGTATGTGTGTGTGTGTGCGCGCGCGCACTAAATTTTATATAATATATACAATGATATGTATATGTACATAATACAGTCATCATATCACTTATTTGTTTTAACGATTTTATCTGCTCTTATTTTTTAAACGATTATTTCAGTTAAATCATTTACTGCACCCTATGTGATTCGTAGGACATATCTTTTGACACAATTATAAAGGAACCTAGAGATATAATGACTATACGTACATTATTTTGTAAGATTAATTTATGCAATTTACACCAGAAAATTACTTACTGTTAATGCCAGAAATCAATTGTAATATATTAATAAAATTACTTGCGTATATTCTGTCTACAAGATATAATTATTTCATCAATATAATATAGATTATAAAAAGATATTAATAAACAGAAGCACGATATAGATAGGATTAAACAAGGACGAGTCTATTCTCGCGAAGCGAGCAAGGTGCAGGCGAACGAAAGGTGTAAGCTCAGATTAATAGGGGTCGATTTCAGTATCGGAGATGGCAAATCGCGGTAATTAATATCGCCATTTGTTCCATGTCACGTGCACGCCTATACGCGCATACACACACAAACACGTACACACACATACACGTACACACGCGCGCGCGCACGCGCGCAAAGAATAGGTACACGGACACGCACGCGTATCGTCGAGCGAGTGTGCGAAACGTAGACGGCATATACACCATGGGGATAGGCATACGTTCGATCCAATTGAAAGGCGGAATACATATTCCAACTTCCCGAAGATATTAATTAGCTTTCGCGGTTCATCGAGCCGGTCTCCACGAGGCCCCCGGAATCGGCACATTTCACACGCAGCCACACAATTCCGATGGGCGCGTACGATTGCTCGCGTGATGGCTTGTTGGGATTTAATTGTTACGTTCGAGAATTTGTATGGTTCATTGATGCGAGCACTGCTTGAAAATGAGGGCGATCCGGCACATTTCAACGGCTCTGAAAGGGGAAGTTGATATAACATACATATATGAATGAATTTAGGATGTCGTTATACGATATTTTATTTGCGAATTAAAAAGAAGATAAATGCGTTCAACTGACAATTATTTTAATTTCATCTGAAAATTTGAACAAATGGAGCAAAATTTATGAAATGGACAATCAGTAGAAAGTACCTTGGACAAGTAATATTTATTTAAAGCTTGATCCAAAGCTGATCGATAAATACATACACGTATCATGATTACATTTGATTTGCTAAATCGGGCTTTCAATTGAATTTGCTACTATGTAATAATCTAATAATCTGCTCGGATATTACTGTTCTTGTGAAATCAAAATCGACATCTATTGATGCGTAGTTCCAATTGGCGCGTTGAGACATGGGGTTTGCAAACGCCAATTGCTTGTTAGTAACATGTGCAATCAATACGATCAGATTCCGAAGTTTCAACTGATCCTCTTTATCCCCTATTTTCCATCTTTGATCCTTCATTGTATTGTTTTAACTTTCACGTGGAATATATTTAAAAATATGATTTTATTATCGTAATCTTTTTTTCGGTCTTTTAGTTATCTTTTATGACATATAAAAATATAGACATAATATATTTTTGAATAATACTTATATATACAATTATCTCATTTTGACTTACATTAGTAAAAAAAATAATAATTAATATTGTAATTAATGTGTTAATGATGTAGTAATTTCGTAATACGCATAAGCAATATGACGGGAAGCTGAAAACGTTTTGCAAAATTCCGCACATAGCTATTTATTAAGTTTGCTGACTGTTTAATTTTGATGAAACTATGCTGCATTAACGTCAGTAATGTAGTCTTTCCCTCCATTCCTCTCTTTCTCTCTCTTTCTCCCTCTGCAAAATTTGCCCAATTATGTCCGCAAAATAATGATTTCCTGCTGTTTATTTCATGAAATACCATAAGTAATTCGAATCATTATTTAACCACAACAAAGGTTAATTATTCAGTAGCACGCTTAATATATGCCATGAATTGGAATCATTTTGAACAGCGTGGATAATTATTCAGCTTTATCTAAAATCAACGAAAATTATAAGCAAAACCTCGTTAAAACGTTTATGAATCCTACTAATGTTGTGCATTTTGCTTCAAATATTCAACCAGCATGGCCGTATCCTTGTCTTAATATTAAATCACAAATTTTTTTTTATAAATTTTTTCTGACAAATGTTTTATTTAAAGTGATGCAATTAATTCATAAAATACGTATGCACTACATACGCGTGCCCAATTTCGTCTCTACTTTTTTGTTTTTTGCATCTTGTTATTTGTTTTTGTGAAATGGCCAACATGCACGCAAAACTGTGTCGCGTAGATTTATTCAAAACTAGGATTATTCCGCAAAGAATGTTACGAAAGTTCAATTGGAGTTTAAATCTGTCTGGTTATCTCAAAGATTTATATGAGAGTAACAAGATATCAGAAAAGTAAAATTTATAATTAATATATTAAAGCATTAATTCTAATACTATATATAATTTAATTATCAATTTTCGAAGCTCTAATTTTAATCAAAGCGAATACTTTTATGTATTATAAACGGATTTTTATGTAATATGTATATTATATTAGAAGGATAGATGAAAGTAAGTTATATAATTTGTAAATCTAAAATTCCATGAACTTTGAAAATAAAATATTTGATTCAAAAATTTTTTTTTATAGGATTTTAAATTTAATTAAACAAAAATGTAAAAATTTACAGAAAAGCAAGAGAAATAATAATTTACACAGAGTATAATTTATACAGAGAAAGAGAGAGAAAGAGAGAGAGAGAGATTGGAAATGTATTAAAAGTCTTGAAATTACACTACTGAAGATCTTTACATTAAATTTATATATAAGAAACTACAACAAGTTTATCAATGATATTAGAATGTGGAATCTTTCATGTTTTTTAATGTGATCTGTAATTGAAGTAATTTATGTTAATCTGAGTCAACGAGGTCAACCATTATATAATTTCTCACTTTGCATCGTAAAAGGAAGTATTTTGTAACTTCGTATAGCAAAGCAGAAAGTAAAAGTTAATTAAAAAGCTATTAAAGGGAATAATTAAGTTTTCTTATATAATGTCGTAATACTCAGATTTTTCTTGATATAATTATAATAATCTTAAATTCTGTATATATGTATATAGAATTTCTTACAATTTCAAATATACAACACACACACATACACACATCTCAAGACTTTTATGTATTAACTTTTATGTAATTTTTTTTCTATGGCATTTTTTATTTATACAATTTTATTGGAAAGACGACGATATTCCCATGATCATAGTTTGTTCTATTATTATATAGATTGCTGATTTACTATAATATCATTGTTTATATTTTTTTAACAGGAATTTTAATGTCTAAGAATTGATCTAAAAACACAGATAATAATATAAAATAAATTCCTGACTAGTATATTATATAAAACATTAAATACTATAAATAATTGTCTTTATAATATTATTGCAAAATTTTTTCAATTTCTTTATACGCATGTTACATATCAAATACAATCTAAAATTCTTTATTTTGCATTTTAACTAGTGTGTACATTATTTTTGCATTGATATTGTCATAGAATAACATTTATATACATTGATTTTAAAAACATAATTTTTCGTTAATATATGCCGAATTAAGAGTGCATTTTGTTTTGTTATGTAGACAGTATCTAAAGTACATTTATACCGTTATCACTAATATATTGGTATAATATGAAGATCGCGATTTATTTTAAAACTTTAATGAGTCAAAAAATAGAAACACTATGTTATGAAAAAATAATTTTTTAAATTAAATGTTCTGTCACAGTATGATAATTCTATAATGGCTCCTTTTTGGAAAAAAGATCAAGATTCCACGTCTATTGTTATTAATTTTAATATATTTACTATGATTATTCATGTTTCTTTTATTCCTTTTCTAGATTTCTATTTTCTATTTTTATTTCTTGATCACTAAAGGTCAAATATACATTAGGGATCCAGTAAACCCCACTCGTCATATAGCGGTAGTCTTTTCATCATTAATTTTTTATAACTCTCGCTCTTAAAACCTGGATTTGAAAAATTATCCTTGCTCATTAACTCATCCAAATCTTTCACTTCACTCTTACAGCACAGCACCATCGGTAAAACCGAGAAAGATGCTATCATTCCATAGCTAGCTCTTCGTTTCATGGTAGCCTTCAATTCTTCCATAGTGGGCGGCTGTGTCTTGCAATTTAGTTGCGCCATAGTTGCCGACAAGGTGCCAAGGTATTCGTTTAATAAAATATCTCTCTTGTTTTCAATGATATCCGGGGAAGGACTTGTACTGATAAAATAGAGGAGATCGAGTGCCGGCGATGTATAGACGCACATTTGGAAGTCCACCTGTAATATCAAACGAACTCTTTCGATCAATCGATCTCTTGAGCCTCTCCCCCCTCATCCCGGCAATTGAATTGGAAATGAAATCCGTGCACCGGGAAAGAAGTGGGATTCGTGTTTAGGAAGTCGCGGCGAGAAAGTTGAGAGTTTGCGCGGACGACACGGGCAGACAGGTGGCGGATGTTCTACCTGAATGCGATCGAACTGGATTTATTGCATTATTCATAACATACTACATTTTAAAGTATCTCATATTATCGCCGCCTTTTTGTCTTGGTCGCTAAAGCCGATATTGCAGGTAATTAGCTCGTATCGTACGTGTTAACGTTGCACGTACTGTAATAACGTTTTTCGAAATTATTATTTATTTATTTTTACACAAATTTATGTATTATTACACTCAACCATAACTAAAAATTATAATAAAAATTCAGAAATGTAGATAATTGGAATAAAAACCGTATGTTATATTTAAATTATGTTCATGATAATTTAAATTTTTATCAATTAAAATGATATATTTTAAAAATAATCACTTAGCCGTTTCAACAATATAAATCGTATCGCGCGTAATTAAATTAAATTTCACGAATTATTTTATTTTAAATCTTGGTCGCAATATAAAGCCGCGATTACAATAAATCAATGAGCAATCGTGTTTAGAGGGAGTATGTAATATTTTTATAATGTGATGGTACTTACAAAAATGTGTTCAACAGGTTTACCGTCATTGTCATATTTGAATAACATATTGTTCACCCACATATCACCGTGATTAATAACATTAAATTCATCCTCAGACATCTTGGCTGCATTTATCCCTATTTGATATATCTCGTCAGTGAGTTTAGCTATTTTGTCCGCGTATCTAGGAATACAAATCACATAAACATAAAATTATATGATATTATCTAAAAACCATATAAATATTTGCTCTAAAAAGAACATTTTGTACCTATATTTGCATTTTATTTTCTGCTTAACATATTTTCAGTCTTTTTATATTAAATATCTTGTATAACATAAAATGTTATCTTGGATTAAGGAGTAGAACAATACATACTATCGTTTATGTAAATCTTACTTTTTCATTCCTGGCCAAGTTGCAATCTCTTCTGCTAAACCTTTAACACTCATAGTGAAGAAAGCTCCCATTTCTGGCGGATGCTGATCGCTAAACATTCCTCCCTGATTATACATCGTTTTTTGGTTTGGTTCCTAAATATTAAAATATTTTTATTAAAAGATATGTTTATCCATTTATTTGATCATAAAATTAAATAACTCACAATCAGTGCTGACTGAAAATTTAGAACATTATGAAGCTAGACAAAAAATCTACGATCATAATTTTAATAATATAATTTTAACAATTTTTTAATGAATTTAGAGCAGATCTCTTTTTGAAGAAAATTAAGAGACAAACTATTATTTATCACAATTTTTTAATGTAAAATATTTTAGTATGTTAATTTCAAATTACAATTTTGCAAATATAAAAGGACTTATTATTACAATTATTTGAGTTTATAGATATCCAGTTAAGCTCTAAAAGCTTTTTCTTTTTAATTACTTTAGTTTTGAAAGTGTTTGATATTTGATGCATGATATTTCGAGAAAAAGTCGATTTTTCTTACTAAAAGAATAATTTGAGATAGACATTTTTTTGAGTAAATTGTACTTTTTCTTGTTCATGAAAGAGACACTTTTTCAATGTGTTTTCTTGGCTAAATGCCGAGGCACGTGCTATAATAAAGGATAATAAAGGATATTGGACTTTGTTTAAAACGGTTATTCTCCGCCAGGCATTTCTGCTGGATCACTCGCCGTACAGTTTCGAACTCCCATTCGACTATACAAAATCGTTGCGGTTTATGGTAACCATTATACCGCACGCATTATTACGATGTAGGTACGTATCTGTTGTATCAGAGTTTAGGACCACGATACACGATATTTATCTTGGATTCAGTTACGTAATAATCGTTACTGCGTTAATAAGCACATTAATTTTTCCTAATCTTAACACATATTTGTTCGAGCTCTTATGAATCTTCCGTGACTGGTCATTATTCTTATTACTAGTAATTTACTTGATGCTGTCTGTAATTTACTTGAACCTTATAAATGTATCATTTACTGTAAAATAGATGGTTGCTAAATTTTATCTTTTCAGTACATAGATTTATAGTATGAAATAAGATAGTATGTTTGCATATAGTATTTAAATGGAACTATTAAGTATTTAATATTACAATTAGAAACTACATATTTCTCTATTGGGATTTGACATTTTTGGTGGCGCAATTTGTTGCCAAAAAGTAGAAATACTCGCGCTTGTATTTAGCATACGTTTGTATAGTATTTATTATAAACTTTTATTGTAAAATAACAAAATCAACATTATGACTAATAGTTAACAACATTATAATTAAAAAGTTTGTTAATTAACAAGTTAGTTCCTTTATATAAGTACAATGTATGTACATGGCAAGCACTTTGTCACCATATTTGTTAGCTATATACATATATTAGTCTCCGCCCCCATGTCAGATCCCAATAGAATTATATAAAGTATGTTAAGCACGTGATCCTAACGCTCGATTGAAAATTATCTCTTGGCAGTATTTGCAGCAATTAAAATTATAAATGTTTTGTCACTTCAAATTAATGTCTATTACACGAATATTTTCAATTACTATCATATTTTTAACAGATAAGTACTTCGAATAATTCAGCACAAAGAATATCGTAGTAATGTGATAATAACGCGTTTGTGCAATGCAATCAAAGTGATGTAATCAAACTGATATTCCACATATCATCTTTTATATATTTATAACGTTAGGGGCTTATTAATGCGAACATTTGAACCTTCGACGGTCCTTGGATTTGTGCCATTGATCTAATTCTTAATAATTGCAATGAGACTGATTGTGAGTCACGCGTGATTTACCTTCTCGCATAAGGCTACGGAGGCTGCATGAAACCTGGCTATTCCGCGAAGCGCCAATATGCAATGAGCTAGGTCAAGACCAGCTAGACGATCGGCCATGCGAAAGCCGAGAGGTGCGAGATCTTCGATCACTAGAAGCGTTGGATTTGCATTTTGTACATACAGGCCCTTCCCGCTTATGCGGTGCTTCGGCCCTAACAATTTATTCATTTTATCCAAGGTATCTGACATCATCAATATCTCGACTTTAAAGATACCTGATTGTTCGATCTGTAACAAGTTTATTTAAGACTAGCAAATTGAATCTTTTAATCTAATAAACATGCAATTATTTTTCTCATATAAAGGCCTTGAAAGTTCGTGTGATAAAAAGTTTCGGATAGCACATAAATAATAAATTTAATCCACAAATTAAAATTCGTTCTGAAACGGCTGAATAATGTAAATATATTTACTTCTTTAAATTTGATTTATAAAAATAACTTTATTTTTAATCAATGATTCAAAAATAATTATCTTAATCTTTTTGTCGAAGTTCACTCCGAAATAATAAAATCCAGTTTGCGCTCTCTCTCTCTCTCTCTCTCTCTCTCTCTCTCTCTCTCTCTCTCTGCATTAAAAACATTATATAAATTAACTTACAAGTTCCTGTCGAACACCTTCGACTATAGGCGAGACTTTGACGATGATTGATTTTTTCTCTGTTTTACGGCCTTGGTCACGAGAAAATTCGGCAGTAACCCTGATCATGTCGCTGGTATAGTTGTCACCCTTGGCGGTGGCCGGTTTCGAGAATATATCGATCACCTGGATCGAATTGTCGCCTTCCGACTTTCGCAGGATCTTCTCCACGAAGCATACATTCAGCCATGCCGGTGTCTCTTGGGCCATTTCTGAAATTGGAATTGGAATTGGAGAATTTCCCCGACAAATCATTGTTCTTCCCGCCGTGTCACGAAACGCGAAAACGATTCTTTACGATAACTTATTGTTCGCGGCGAGATTTATCACGTTTTCTTTCCCTCTTTCCAGCCGACTCCTTCCACTCATTCGAGCCCTTCCACGGCCTTTCCTTCACCGTTCCCCTCTCCTCGCTTTTTTTTCCGCCCGTTTTACTGTCGATTTCTTTCTTTGAGTCCGTCCGATATTCAAGATGGACGCATTCCCCTACGTTTGAGATCGCTGTTTCAATTAAGAGCGTAATGGGAAGCCGCTTTTACCATTTCCCTTTTTGGCCAACGGCATACGTACGTTCCGCGTTGAGATCCCGTCGAACGTGATCGAGTTGCGGTATTTGCGAGAAATTTACGACACGTCTGGCGCGCCGCGATCGCGTACGTACTTGTGGTCGAACGACGTTGGCCATATTTCACCTTGATGAGTTTTCTCAGAAATGTTTTCCGCGGTTTTCTTAGAATCAAATCCGTCCGCCATTAGGCGGACGTTTAATGACTGAACTTACGAGGAGTTATATTATTATATATAATTCTAATAGTATATAAAAATAATTTATAGAATAATATATAAACCGCATTTAAAATGTTTTACAAATTAAGCGTCAGAGACACAAATAAATGCACAACTTTATTCTTCAATCGATTTCAAGTTAACTTGATTTTAATTAAATTATGACTTATATAATCAAAGTGCATCAAAATGAATTAAAATGCATTAAACAGAAGAATTTTGATATGTAAAACTTGTAAAACTTAAATATTATTTAAAATAAGAATTTATTTTTTCTTGTAACACTTACTTGATAATAATTTTCGTAAATCGTATATTTTGCTTACAAATTGTCGAATGTCGTGTGTCGTCTTTCGAGATTTTTGAAGAACTGCTGCTGCAGTCCCAGTTCTCTCTCTATTTATAGGGCTAGTAAAGGTGCATCTACAATGAGAGTAGTAAATCGTATGCCGTCTTCTGCTTGAA